AGAGAGAGAGAGAGAGAGAGAGAGAGAGAGAGAGAGAGAGAGAGAGAGAGAGCATGGTCACTGCATTAGTGCCACAGAGAGAGAGAGAGAGAGAGAGAGAGAGAGAGAGAGAGAGAGAGAGAGAGAGAGAGAGAGAGAGAGAGAGAGAGAGAGAGAGAATCTTTAACCACAGATCCTCATTGCCACCGGCTGACTCACTTTTAACTGATAGATTCGTGTCACCACTCGCTAGCATGCCTTCCCATACACAAATACATTCTCATTCCCCTCCCCATGCCATGCATTTGGTTGCACTCTCTAAACAGAGATTCTGATTGTCGCGCCATGGGTCACACTCACTTCGATTGCATTGTCATGAATCATGATCCTAGTTTTCCTCTCCTGCTCCCTTCCTCAGGCTTTCACGATAGACTGACCACAAAACAGGACCGAATCTGCCTGTTTTTTTGCAAATAACAGACACGCCGTCCTACACCTCTTGTCATCCCCGAACCTGTCTGTTTTTTGGCAAAATACAGACACACCGCCATACACCGCTCTCATCCCCGTAGACTCCACGCTTCATTCCACCACAGTAGAATCACATGCCACATCTTTTTAGCCATGGATATAAATCATATAACTCATCTACAGTTTGTGGCTCATTGTAATTGCTTGTTTCTAGTGCACTGGAATGATCGCCTCAATCATGAGACAGTTTCACATGACGATCTTCCCATGCATTTGAAAAGGACAGATTGTCATCATCATCATCATCACGATCATCATACCATCCATGGGAATACTAGCAGATTGCCCCTCTTCCCATCTGGGACGCCGTAGCCGTGGTGTGCTCTATTGAACCAAAAAACGAAACCCGTCCTATAACTCAACACGAGTTCGAAAGGAGCACGTTTCAAGGGAATTCAATTCAACTACTGGATGTATTCTTGCAAATGAAAACATATTAATAAACATCCAAATAGCTAAAAAGCTTAAAATACGACTCGCCAACTCCACTGCCTCTTTCATTTTGCTGCCCCTCCTCCTCCATCCTTCCCCCCTTGCTACACATTGCACTTCCTCTTCCTCCTTTTCCTCCTCTGTGCAGGTCATCATCCTGGTCATTCTCCATGGCTGACCATGCCAAGCACGTGCCCACATCGCCCCCTTTCATCAATGACGTTGCACTCGTTTGGAATAATTCGCGACTCTACTACTAATACTGCCACTGCACTTTGAGGAGTCATTGCCTTCGTCACCTTCGCCCTCTCCCACATATAGAGCATATGCATCGCAGCTCAACCTCCTCTTCCTCGAACTACTACATTTCCAATCTGGCAAGCTGCTTGCTTGCCATTGCGCTGCTCCACTCCCTCCTCCTCAATCGTTTTATCTCACTCAACTATGCGATGACCACTTTCTCCAGCATTCGCAGGTGAGCCACCCCAATCACACAGTTCAGTCAGTACTGTCAGTACTGTTTCCAGCCTTGGATGGACCTCCTCGGTGCGTGCACAGATTCGAACCGCCGCCCTCAGCCTCAAGAGCCGAGTTGCTTAACCGTTATAGCCATGGCACGTGTACAAAAGCGGACCTTTTTCACCAGGTTAGCGACAATTCTGCCGAAAGGGGGTCCCTAACGGGGCAAAAGAGGCCTGCCTGAGTGCTGACCTCGCCTGTTATGTATCCGCGTGTTTTCAGCCAAGCTACTTCATCACTTGCTCAGCTGACCATAGGCCGCCACAATCCATTTTGCCCACAGAGGCCACAACAGCGACCAAGGGCGTGAGTAACGACACCAAGTTGTTCTCATATGATGTCGCGTTGTCGCAATCACATGGTGTCACAAATGCCAAGCGGTCATTTTTTAGGGCACACATACTGCAGCAGAGGTCCCACACTTGGCGACACATCTGCTCCTGCTACACTGGACTTCAAACAGCTATCCCCCATCAAGACGTGAGTTTTACAATCTGGTCGTTTCGCAGCCAAGCTGCCTCCCTCATGTTTTCTGGACTGAGCTACTAGAGACCTTTCTATTGTCGTATTTTTTTGATAGTCTTTTGAAAATCTATCATATTTTGTTGAAAAACATCTTGTCTTTTTACTTGAGTAGTCTTATGCATGGTAAGTACTATAGCTCTAATCATGGCCACTAATAAAATAAGAAAGTTCGGACTCCAAATAGACGAACCAATTGTTTTCTGCATGAATGCATACACGGCAGGATAGAGTCTGTATACATTCACGATGACAGACACTTGTTTTTTTGTGCAGACTTTCAGAATCGGAAGACACAAATGCTTACCACCTACTCGCACAGCGACCCCAAAGCCGCAAAATAAATATGCGGATTTGGGAAGGGCTTATTTGAGGTTTTGGGCACGGTTCTTCAGGTCGCACTGCTGTGCCTTTTCGGATGGGACAAGGTGGTGGCCTATCTGGAGAAATGGCGATTTGGCATTTCGCTGGTCGTCCTTCGGGACATCCGTTAAAATTGGAACGATACAGAGAAGATTAGCATGGCCCCTGCGCAAGGATGACATGCATAAATTGAGAAATGGTATTTCGCTGGTCACTCGGTGCCATCCACAAATTGTGCAAAACTTTTGTGAACGAATTTTCGCCAATTTTCGAAGAAAATGCTCAAAAATAAATAGGGCATTTGCGGTCACCTCCAGAGGTGAGGTGACCGCAAATTCCCTTGCCTCGGGGCTACACAGGCCGCTGACAAATGGGCACACGAATAGTACATTTAGGACTTGGGCAAATCTGTGTGACCGGCCCTCTACCCTTTTGGGGGGGGGATATGGGATTATAGGTCCCAGTCTGAGTATGCCCTTATTCCCCCATTATAACTCCCTATCATCACGGATGTATACAGACTCTATCCTGGCCAAATAGGGTATTCTGTTCGGAGACCATGTCAGGAATCCTGTCACAGGAATGCTCGAGTCTTCACGACAATCCAGTACAGCAGCGGCCATAATGAGCAAACCAGAGCAGCCATTGAGAGGGTCGCAGTTACTCAGAGATGGATGGCTGCAGGGAGAGAGAGAGGGGTAGGTAGGGTAGGAAGAATGAAGCAATTTCCTGACTACAATTTCCTCTTTTTTTCTTTTTTTTTTGGCACCATTTCTCGATTTATGTGTGTAATCCTCGCGCAGGGCCATGCTAATCTTCTCTGTATCGTTCCAATCTTAACAAATGTCCCAAAGGACGACTACAATTTCTTTTTTTTTTTTCTTTTCTTTCGTTTCTCCCTTCTGGAACGTCACTGGCTACAAGTTCTTCTACTAACACATGAATGGATGTATGGAAGGTGACATCAATCAACAATTAGCATTCTCCAGTTACGGCATGTCAGTAGAAATTTGTCAAACTGAAATCGACCGAAATTTGAGAAGTCCTCATATGAGCACCTGCATCCTGCCACAAACCTCTGGTGATTATACGGGCTGTGTTCGGGAGATCCGGAGACAGAATGCATCATACAGATCCCAGCAGGAAGATGTGTTTCATTTACATGTAACACTGACGTCAACGGATGTGAAAGAATGCGACATGACGTAACTGCTGATGAGCAATACAAGACCAGACATGACAGTGCAGTCGGGGAAACAAGCAGTAAAGATTATTCACAATCCTTTGCGGCTGAGGGATGGTTTTCAGGCAGGAATGCTGAGAACGACCTGCCCAAAGCATCATGGTGCAGGTATACTGAGAAGGACCTGCCCAAACGAAGTGGGAGCAAAGAACCGTGGCGCATTCTGACCGCTTTGCACCTGCCAGGCCCATGGCGAGGTGGCGATCCACAGACCCTTGAGTTTAACGAGGCCTCTGGAGAACTACAGTGAGGGGGAGGCAGGGGGTGAGCGGGGGATCAGGTGGAGGGTGAAGGGTGGCAGAGGGTGGAGGCTAGGGTAAAGGGTAGCGTAGAGGGTGGAGGGTGGAGGGTGGAGCAGGGCAAAAGAAAAGCCAAGTCAAAGGCAAGTAAGACAGCAATCGTGAGCAACGTGCACAGGACTCCGTATATCATCAAATCGACAATCAACAATCTACACACAATCGAAAATTGTTTGAGCTAGCCCTAACGCTCCGCAAGTGTCCTTAGTCTCCTCCGCCTCCTGCTCCCACTACTACGACTACCCCTCCTTCCTCGCTTGATTCCTGTGCTGCTTTTTCCCCCGTCCCTTGGGCTGTCCATCACGTGATTCCGTCTCCACCTCCATTCTCCTACGAGCTGCCTCGTTCTCATCATCCTCCCCATCGCTGTCGATCTTCGTGCCCTCATTTTCGACAAGCCATGGCACTTTTATGCTTCTCATCACTGTCACCCTCCTGTCAAACTGCCTGAAGGCTGCAACGCCTGTTCCTTTGGCGTGATCAAGGACCAAAGATCCCATCAGGCGGGTCAGCGAAGGGTCCTCCTCCACAACCTTGTATGCACCATCTGGCAGACGAAGACGACCTAAGATGCCATCCTCTTCGGAATGCTCCTGATCAGACAGTTTCAACCTCATCCTCATGCCGGACAGGTCCTGCACGTCCATGTTGAGAGGCATTTGCACAAACCATAGTTCCACGTCATCAGATGCTAGCTCTTCCTTCGCAATTGTATCAATGCTCGACATGTCAAAGTTTGCCGGTGGCTGAAAGTTTTGCCATCCTTCCCCCTTCAATTTCTTTCCCGCCACGTCACCACCTTCCTTCTCCATGTCGTAGTCAGCTCCCTGATGTCACTCGCTCTTCTCTTTGTTGCGTCCCCACCTCTCCCTCCTCCTCCCAATCCCGACTCCGGCAAGCTCACTCCGCTTTTCTTTTTAAATTCCCTGCACAAACTCGCAGCAAGGCTCCCAATGCACTACAACAAATCGACTGTCAAAAGTCTGTCTCTTATACACATCTAGATGTGTATAAGAGACAGCTCTCTCTCTCTCTCTCTCTCTCTCTCTCTCTCTCTCTCTCTCTCTCTCTCTCTCTCTCTCTCTCTCTCTCTCCAGATTTCTTTTGCAAACAGGCAGCAAGGCCTCCCCTCCTGATATAGACGGATCGACTCACACTCTTCTTTCCTTGCTCTCTTCTGGTCTCCTTCGCCTTTCGCTCCAGCTTTCTTCCCTCCTCCCTTATTTTCCTCCCCCGCGTCCTTTTCTTTTCTTCCCTAACACGTTGGTCCTCTCTTCACTTCTGCCCTTCTTCGGTCCTCTCTTTCCTTTTCTACTTCCCTCCTTCCTCCCTCCCTCCCTTTCTTTTTTTTGGGGGGTCTGTTTCCTTCTTTCTTTGGTTCCCCCTCCCTTCCTCCTGCAAGCTGGGGCAAGCTCACACTGAGCCTTGTTCTCGATGGAATGTTGCCGTTATTTTGGACAGATACATTCGTGAAACGCACTTGATTTCTCAGGTTGTCCCTTTCCTTGTCTGCAAGCCGTGGCGTCTTGCTTGATGCGCTTTTCCCACCACCAGCTGCGCTGGCGACGGCCTCTTCGCCTAGCCACCCTTTGTGACGGGTGCCGTGGACGAAGCTGAGCCGTACTCGTGGAATACCTTCTCCGATAGGATTGGTCCGCCAACTTCCCCCGTCAAACCTGTTATACGCATGCATGCAGCCAGCCAGCCAGCCAGAAGAACGCGGAAACCCACCACCTCTCCTTACAACCCCAGAAAGCCGAAAAACTGGAAAACTCACCACCTCTCCCAACCCCAGCAGCACACGCCACCATCAGAAAACCGGAGACGTGGGCCACCACCATCAGCCATGCAGGCAGCAGCCAGAATACAGTGTGGATATCCCTTATCCATGCAGGCAGGCAGGCAGCCAGAAGACATATCGGATATAGTAATAGACAAGTAAGGCCAGTGCGGATACGCCCGCACACACGGAAATGTGCATGAGATATTCGGGGTCTACATGAGTACTAGATGACCCGTTGCGGCTTCGCCCGCAAAAACAGAAAACTAAAATGCACAAAAGAAAGAAAACGCATAAGGAACTGCCCTTGCCCTTTCATATGCCGCTTCTTTCACACAAACAAAAAGAAGAGCCTGAGAGCAGACAGAAATCCGCGTGCAAGAAATACGGAGGGAATACCACCGAACCTTTTTTGTTTCTTTATCTGCGAGTGTTTTGTTTGGGAAGCCGCTACCTTTTTTGCAGCATCGTTTTTTTTTGGTGCTGTGCAAAAACTGTGAACTTTTATGAGAAAATCCTGTCCGTGGTCCTGTTGACGTTTTTGCTAAAGATTCCGATTCAGACTTTTGTTTGCTTTGTTCTCTGAATATGTTTGTGATAAAGCCATCTTGCATGTATGCCCCGTGCTTACTTGTTGAGTTTTAACTCTATGTGTGCAAGTGCATGCGCGTGTGGGTGAGTCTCAGTTTGGTGGGCTCCGATGATGTCATTTTGATGATTGCCCCCGGGAAGTTGTTGGAAGTCGCCTCCAACAACAATAGGAGTGCCACTGATGTTAAGAAGCAGGGGTTTTGCATTGTATGAATGATGAAACAATCAGCCGCATTCAATCTGCTTGGCAGTTGCTCTTCGCGTGAGGGACTTCGTCACATCGGGAGTAGCGTTGACATGGGAGCCATAATGCCGGGCGTTCATTTTGCAACATTTCCTGGAAGGCGAAAGGCAAAGAAGAAACGAAGTAGCACGTGCCCCCCCTTCTCTCTCTCTCTCTCTCTCTCTCTCTCTCTCTCTCTCTCTCTCTCTCTCTCTCTCTCTCTCTCTC